ATTTTTTTTAGTTAAAGAGTCATAATTAAATAATAAATGATTCTCATTTCCATCTCTAGCTACTAATATTTCACAATATTTGAATGATTTGCAAATTAAACAGTATCAACATCATTCTATGAGTCTATAATCCATTTAGCAATTGTAGAATAGGATGGTTTTTTAATACGTCATGCTGATGTTAATTGATGCATTTCTGAAGCCATCTAATCTTGATAATATTGTCTTAATTTAGATTTAAAACTTTTATTAATAGAGACATTCAATGGTTGAAGCTTACTAGTTAAACTACTTAGAATGCTATATTTGTTTGCTTTTTAATAAATCTATTTTTAACAGAATTAACCAAATACCCTCTAAAAGCATTCAAAACTAGAAGAGATTGAGGGTTACCTAATGGATTACATTGATTTTATACATTTTCAATCCACCATAATATTTCATTTTCATTCATCTATTCTTTTTCAATTACACAAATATTAATATCTTGAGGAAATTGTTCTTTTGGAATATTTTTCAATTTAAAAATACAAGTAGCTGAAAGTTTAGTACCATCAGCTAAACATGATAAAATAACAGTAAAATGAGTTTTTTCATGACCAGTTATACGAATAGTCACTATCGAAGTATCACATTAATCTAATGTTGTATTTGAAGGTAAATCAAAAATAACTGAAATCTCATCCATATTACCAATATATTTTAAAGGATAATCATATTGAATTCTTCAATATAAAATAAAACTAAAAAACTTTGTTATTTTTGTAAAAGATCATCTAAAAGATATTACACAATATAAATTTGTCGACATATTGCAAAATTAAATCTTTTTATAAAACTTTCTAACCATGTATTTGAAAATTTAAAATTATTAATATTTGGATAAAAATTAAGATAATCTTTAGCTATAGATTTAGCCTTTTAAACAACCATATTATGTGTAATGGCTTTTGCTGCTTAACGTATATCTGTTACCTATAAAGACAAACTTCTTTCAAGTTCTAAAAGATATGTTTCCCTTCTTCTATGTAGTTTTTGAATATAAGGAGCTGCATTTTCTAATTGATTTTTTTGGTTTTCTAATATCATATTTATTTAGGTTCAACATCAAATTTTTTAGCCGCTAACCTATTACTTCCACATTGTTCAGCATAATAAATAATAAGTAACTTCTCTCTTGCACACTACTGCCTTTTTTTCTTTAGAGTAATATAGAATTTTTTTGTAAAAACTTTTACTATGATGTACTACTATTTTACTTTTAAGAAAAAGAGTTTGTGTTAAAGTTTTTGAAAGAACGTGTTAGAAAAAAACTGTGAAATTAATTTATTATGTATTACATTTTGATCTAATCTTAATTTTAATCTTAAAATTCATGACCAGAATTTTCTGATCACATCCTCTCAAAAAGTAGCATCCGATTCTACTAGAGTTCATCAGTAATATTAAATTTTTTTTTTTTTGAATTACTCATCAGCTTATTTTTTTAAATTAATTAAGAAAACTATCGGGTTTGGCTATTTTAAACAATTCAGATTTTGTTAATTAAAGAGGGAAACAAGGTTTAAAAAGAAAAAAAATTTAAATTTTCAAAATGATAAAAAAAGAAAAAAATTTAAATTTTCAAATTGAAATGATGTTAAAAAATTTTTGACAAATTTTTGATGCACAAAAATTTGTTATATTTTATTGGTTTTGGCAAATATGCTTGTATCCCCTCCCTTGATCAAAGTACCCCCTATAATATTGTACCCCTTAAAATTTGAGAATTTGTATCATATTCAGGATACTTTAGTCGAGCATTTACGGTAATTGATTTTAAAGAAATTTGAGATATTTTGTGATATGAAGAATATATTTGAGATTTACTACTAGCTGGTAATAGAAAAGTCAGATATATTAATAATAACAAATCAGATGATACATGCTTTAAATATATTGATAGAATTATGTTCTGTAAATATGATTATATAACCTTTAAAATCTACATCATAAGAAGAAAAATCACTTGTTTGACTTTAGCATAAAGAAGTCAAATGTATTTTTCTCAGATATAAAGCACTACTTAATAAAAATATTAAAAGTCTTGTGAGAAAAATTTTAACTATGATTTTTATAGTAATGATGCTGAAGAGGTTATCTGTTATTCTAAATGAGTTTCTGCAGTAAATTTAATAAAAAAATCATTGTATTAGTCAATAAATTAAAAGACAAATAATCAAAAGAAGGATAAAATATAATAATATCAACAAGATCAGAAATTGTCAAATTCATATCCTAGAATATTATTAAAAATGTATTAGGTAGATACTTAAAAGGTACTAATAGAATAGCCTTAAAAGATGTGAAATAATAGAAAAATTTATACAAATGGTTAGATAAGCTTTTATGATACACTATAAAATTATAATATCAAGACTATTAAAAATCTTAAAAGAATTACAAAAACTTATAAAATACCAAGTAGGTTTAGTAAAAATTTATTTTGAAACTTTTATTAGAATAAATTTTATTACTTTATGTAAAATTTATTAATTATGCATAATATGATATATTTTAAAATTATATTTTAATTTGTTTATTTCATCTATTATTTTATTATTTTTATTATTATAAATTCTTTTATTATAATAAATTTTACATTTTTATAATAAATATAAAACTAATTCTTTTACAAATTTTTAAATCAAAAGGATAGAGTGAAATATACAATCAGATAATTGTATGATAAAATCTGTAGATAAGCATTTTATATTTTTATAGATTTCAAAATTAAAATCATATAAAACTTTATTTCAAAGATATTTATGTTCTAAAACATATTTTAAAATTAATAATATGATATAACAATTTTCTGATCTTCTAAATAAGTTCTATATAATAAATTCTAATAAAAAAACTTAATTAAAATATCAAATTCTTATTTTAAATATATTAGGTAATTTTAAATATCAAAAATTCTTATAAAATTTATTTTGAAATTATTAAGTATATTTAGAAATGCTATTTTGAAATTATTAATAAAAGCAAATTTTTAATTTTTTTTAAAGAAGTTTTTTTTTATAAATATTTGTTAATTTATCATTTTTAAGCAATTATAAGTTAATAAAAAATCTTATTTATTAATTATAACAAAATAAAAAATACATAAATTTTTTAAAAAAATATAAAATTCAAAAAAAAAATCATTCTATCGCTTTTTTATAGCAGATATGACAATAAGAAAGAAATTAGACAATACAATGTTTTTTCTTTTAAAAAATAATTTATTTTAAAATTGAAAAAATAAATAATTAAATTAATATTTCTTATCATCTCTATATAGCTAATTTAAAGTAATAAAGTAGAAATTAGATAGTCAAATCAAAAAAATATCATTAATACAAGACTTTATAGTCATATAATAGTTATTTCTAATGATTTACATAGATCAGATTCTATCAGAAATATATGCTGATTTATACATATCCCTTCTCCATTCAAAGGTGAACTACTAACACTCTCCTCTACTTTTGTTTCTGCTACTGAGTTAGAATTTTATACCGATACATTTTTAAACCATTTAATTTAAATTAATTATAAATAGGAATGCATTATAAACTGTATGTAATTTAATCAATTCTTTATCAATTGATATATAAAAAATAAACTAAATGTTTATTTATAAGTATTTATTTAAACTAGGTATTAAACTAATTATTATAAAAAAATAAACTGATTTATGAATTTTAATCATTTTTCATACCGAATATTATTTTATAGAAATTTTAAATTACAAGTCTGATTTTTCTTTAAGACTAATTAATAGAAATAACTGCATATATTTGACAGGCCTTTTTTTTCCTATTACAAAATTATTAGAAATAAATTGGTAATAGATGTTTTGTATGGGTATAATACTATCCCTAAGCACTAACGAAATGGGTTTGTTAAAGCAAAATCACATCACTACCCAAAATGTTCTACTTCAAGAGACTCTCAGCAGCTTCTGTATACGCTTCTAGTCACTTAGCGCCAATGAAATGACCTTTCAATAATACCATCGTTCCTTAGGTACGATAAAACTATCGTTCCTAAGGAACGATAAAACCATCGTCCCTAAGGAATGATAAAACTATCGTCCCTAAGGAACGATAAAACTATCATCCCTATTCAATAATGCTAACGATGTCAGTCATTGTAGGAAACAATGACGAGATTTATTAGTAAACTCAAAAGGAAGAAGTTGGACTAGTAACATCATAAAAATTTTTCTTAATATTATAACAGCTTCAATTTGACTAAAAACAAAATAAGTATAGTAAAGTCAGTTTACTTATCGGCAAAGTGTAAAAAAAAAAAAATGAAAAAAAAAATGAAAATTACTTGATAGATTATTTGAGAGCGATCTCCTTTCCTTTACAATGGAGAGGGCATTCCAAACATATTCTTTCTATATGAAGGTCGTTATCAACACAAATATCCCAATTCATACCAAAAACATCCGAAATTTCGGGTATTGGTGAAGGAGGAGGCAATGTCGCAAGGTTCCATGATAATGATTGTGGTGATGATTGTGGTGATGTTGATTGTGACGTCTATAGATTTCAGAATGTAAATTATAAACGTTAAAGATTAGTATAACATATAATTATAAAGATTAAAATTTCTGTGAATGTATAAGAAAGAAGTTAAAGAATAATGTTTACAGGTTTATTTCTATGACGCTTTTTAGACAAAGAACCAACATTATAATCAATTTGGTTAAGATTCTGAAGATTATGTTGCGAGCTGGAGTAGGTGTTACGTTCTTTCTCTTCCTACTAATTTTTCGTTGAGATCCTAAAACATCAGCAACTCTACTGGTAGAACTATTATCTTCGATGGATGTGTCCCTTCCTTCATAAAAATCTCCACTAGCATTGGCGTAAGCATTATTGCAATGTTGGCATTTGGCCACAGCCAAGAAATTTTTTTGGCCGCGGCCAAGATTTTTTTAGCCATTTGGCCGATCAAATTGGCCAAATGGCTAATGGCCAACACTGCATTAGTGGTGTTGGTGTTGAGGTTTGCGTTGGCGTTGTCATTGGTGGTGTTAGCGGAACCTTTACTAAAATCAATACCAGAATCATCTTCTGAGATCGAATTAAGCTCGGGTTGAATATGCCATTTTTTGAGTTCTTTATTTTATTGTCGATTTCAGAAAGAGAGAGAAGGATGTGTTCTTTTTCAGACTCATATTCTGAAAGGTTCCGCCTCTATAAAAGATATCAGTATTATTAAATGTAAATTTACATAATCAGGAATTTACACGCATCCTTTCTTACTTACAATTTCGCATTCCTGAATTATTCCTTTCCAATATTCCTCCAAATCTTTCTTAAATCGGGAACGCTATGCCTTAACCTGTTATAGATGAAGGTTAATGATATACGATGTTTTATTTAACGATAAAGGAAGATAAAAGACTCCGAAATCAGTAGACCTTTATTAACGACAAAAGTTAGGACATCTGAATAGAGTACTTGTAGTGGCTACCAAGTAGTTATATCCAGTAATTCTTTAAAATATCAAAATTGCTTTGATCCAATTCCCTTGCTTCTATTAAAAAATGTGTGGCCCAAGCATTGTCAAGTTCTCACAAGTTTACCGAGAATAACATAGTTGAAGTAGCAATAACTTCTCAGTTACGCTTTAAAAACTATATTATAAAAATTTATTAGAAGGATATAATATATGTAGAATTTACGGAATGGTTAATTTTCCAGTCTTTATATAAGACGCGTTACGCGTTTAATTGTATCATGATATTACAAGACAGGAAATAATATGGGCTTCGTCAATAGAAACACATCTTATAACATAATAAATTATTAAGAAGGGAAGGTGTGTTTCTATTGACGATTTATTCGGCAAAGCAGTTAAATATCATAATGATTGGCTGATACACGTAACAAATGAATGATCAACCAATAAAATTTAGAGCGTCCTTATCCTAGACCTCCAGTTCAGGATGAAAATTATAGACCTCCGGGGTTCAGGCAAGTTAAACTAGACCCCTCTCCTTTTTTAGTAATTCATAAATCTGCAAATTGATTACCTTTTAGCTGATTATCACCGAAATTTTTTTAAGTCACGCAAATTTTTTAACGAAAAATAAAAATTTTTAACTTTCTTTTAACAACTAAAAGAATATATTTGGTTCTACTATTTTTTTTAACAAATTTTTTCGAAAAAATATTTGTTTAAAATATGAAATTTATTTGCAAGCTGAATACTAAAGTTACGCATTTACAGTGATGTTAAAAACAATTTATTAATTTAAAAGATCGGATATTTTATTGATTGAAAAAATAAATATTATCAAATCCAAAATCAAAAATTTTATACTTTTTAACAAGACCAACCTAATAATGAAAATAAAAAAGAGTTACAATGATAAAGAAAATGGAACATGCTAATAAAAAATGGGAACAATAAAAAGAAGAGTAAAAAACAAAAAAAATGAAGAAGAAATAATGAGGGACAGAGAGCAATAAAAGAAACGAAGGGTGAATTAAAAAAAAAACAAAAGAAACAAAAGAGTGAATGAAAAAGAACAAGGGGGAATGAAAAGGAATGGAAAGAATAATAGGAGATGATGAGATGAAAGGGAGATTCAGTAAAAATGGGATGAAACAATGATTAGAAGACAAAAAGGAAATGAAAGTAACAATGGAAAACAA